CTGCTGAAGAAGTGGAGGACTCTAATGGTAAGTGGTGCTTTAGAGCAAGAACATCACTGTCTAAGGTGCCACTTATTTTGATTTTTTTTTAAAGGCAACAGCTTGCCCTAAAAGAAGTTTCTTAAGTCATTTTGTAAATGCTTCTTAAGTTGTCAAAAATCAGAATAAATTCTATGCTTTAGGATAGTCTGTAAAGCATGATCACTCACTCATACTCCACCAATTTGCCCAGCTGACAATTGGCCTTCAGTATGTGTTAACCTTTGTTTCTCAAAGACCCACTCATTAGGTTTTGAAAGACGTGATTAGGTGTCTGAATCTCCCTGAAAGTCGATGAGAATGAGGCATCTAGTTCACAGAGTGCTCTGGTGAGGTGATATTGGGATGTTCAGTTTAACCTTTTAATGGTGGTTAAAATAATTTTCCTTCCCCTGCTAGAAAGGATTAAAAAATATATATAGCTAAAAATATGGGCTATTCCTGGGTAGTGGGTACAGGCAGCAAATGACATCTAAATAGCATTTTTTTTCTTTCCCTGCTGACTGTTGTATGTGTGCAAGAGCAGTAGGCAGCTTGTGTCCCTGGTATTTTTGCAATGGGTGGTCAATCAAATAAGGTGCATATCCAGAGAAGAGATGTGGCTTAGTGCCCTGGCATGCTTGCCAGAAGCAAGTGCTAGTAACTCTAGCTTTCTCTTCAGGTCTTGGACCTGCAAACCAGAAAAAGGGATTTGATAGTCAAGAAGTCAGCATGGTTGCTGGGTAAACCATATGAAGGGAAGAGGATGGGTTGGGGAGTTGAAGCTCTGGTGGTTTCTGTCAGTGTTCAAAGGTCTTACTGGTTTCTCTCAGATTGAATATTCCAAGAAGACTTTTAGAAAGAAAAATTTTCAAGTTGTCCAAGCAATTCCATAGAAAAATTGTTAAATGTTTTGTTGTTGCTGAAATGAAAAATTGAACTTCTGATCACTTCAAGCATTTTGGTCACTTTTCCTCCCTTTTTTCCCCATTGGGCAAAGGGGGAGGGGAGGAAAGGAGGGACATACCAATAAGGCAGAAGCCAGAATAACTTTGACTAGAATAGAAGCTATATTATATAGCTTTGACTAGAATAGAAGCTATATAAATATATATAAATAAATATAGCTTCTATTCTATATAAAATATACTATATTCTGTATAATATAGCTTCTATTCTAGTTAAAGTTATTTTGGTTTCTTTAAATGAAAACATAAAGTATTATGAGCAATGCAAAAAAAAATATTTGTGCAATTCAAAAAGCGATTTTTATCATAATCTTTCCAATTAAAAGGTTTTGAACAGCTTTAAATTTTCCCTTCCCTCACAGGACTATCTGGAGCTGTGGAGTTGAATTTGTTTTCACGGAAGTGTTTTTGTTATCATGAGACTTTTGATTATTTGTGCTAAAACTAGCTTAAAGTAGTTGAATTAGCAAAATTCATCTTTGGATGTGTTTTATTGGTTTTTGAAAAATTTATTCCCTCATTCTCTAGTTTTCAAAAGGCAGAAATTTTCATTGGGTCTCCTAATCTTTAATATTAATTAGTACCATTCTACTAATACCGAAAGTATAAAGATGTGTACAGAGAATATTTTGGGCTTTGGCAGGATGATGCTCGCTTCCTGTAACTCATCCTAGGAGACTGAAATCATGATTATTACAGCCCAACACAAAATGAAATTCTGTCCTGTAGCCTAAGTATTCAGCATTGTGGGCTTTTTTAAAGGACCACATATTAATATATGCTAGTTTAACAAGTTTTTACATGCACTAAAATACAGCCCTTATTGGGATGTCGCAGTTAACCAGGTCAGAGTTGCATTCAGAGGTTAAAGCAGGACTTGTCCAAAATTGCGTGATCACCTTTAAATAGGGTTAATGGTTAAATGACATTGAAAATAATAGAAGCTACCCACTGAGGAGGTAGTCAGAAGAGTACAGGGGTAGTGATGATTATATTGACATTTTATAGTTCTCTTGTGAAAGGAATACCTGGGGGGGTTGTTTTGTTTGTTGTTTTAAGTCATTTTCTTGACATAATGGATTTGGTTACAGACCAAATTAAGGAGCACTTTGCTTTTATCATAGTTCACTTTGGGTTTTAGAAGGGAGCAAATAAAGTTCCATGTGACCCAGGCCTGTAAACTACAGGTGTTACATAGGAATAGATAAAAGACTGGTTACAATAATAGAAAATAGGGAGTACATGTGAAGCACTGTTATGCCCAGCTGGCGGGAAGTATTAAGTGGGGTTTTCACAACACAGAGTAGTTGGACCTCTGCTGTTTTAATGTATATAAATAACTTACACCCAGGGTTATAATCTAGTTAATTCACTGATGACACAAAATTGAATCAGGATGGGGGAGAAGTGGCAAGCGTGGAGGCTATGGCAAATGAACTTGGACTTATTTCATGGATTATTTGCTACATGGCAACATAGTATAATTAAGTGTTTGTAAATGAGAGCTATTCATTTCTTTGCACATGCACAGTAGTTGGAATAGAACTTAAGCAGGATGGCTTGAAAGAGATTTGGGAGTGAGTAGAATTCATCCTGGAAATATGGAACAAGTAAATATAAAGAGGGGAGAGGAAAAGGAATATGCAGCTAAAATAGTGAAATGCACATTTGATGAAGGCTTATTTGAACAGAACAGTTCAGTGTGGAGAGACCAAAGGAAATTTTGTCTCCAGTTGCTTCAGAATTTGTTTCCAAAGGTACCACTGGTAAAGATGCAACAAAATGCACTGAAGCTGATCTGTTTATTATAACATAAGAAGAAGATTCTCAAATTTGTATGTCTCATTTGTTTTAGCTCTCGGTCAGGAGCAATTAGTATAACTTTTAATGTACTCGGAAGATGGGAAGTATTGGTGGGGCTAGAGTTAAGATGAATCTTTTGACCATGTTAGGTAGGCATATCCTTGGTAATTCTGTAATTCTCAAAACCTGATTATAAGTAGGGATCTACCGAACTTGAGAAGGCAGCTGGCCAATTTTGTGAGCAGATCTTGGGGCCAGCCACCATTTTCATGGGCTGAGTGCGATAGGATCCCCCACACCTGGCTGAGGGGCCCCAGGAGTCCCGCCCTTCCCCACAGGTTGCTATATGGCCTGAAACCACAGCTTAATTACTTAGATTAAATTTGGGGAAGCCATTAATCCATGCATTATTAAGCATGAATTAATGGCTTCCCCAGGCTTAATCAGTGTAATTAAGCCATGGTTTGAGACCATACCCAACTGGTTAGCTCTACGATTTTGGTGGGCTTGCTGTAAGAAAACAAAAAAAAATGACAAGCAGAGGAAAGGGCAGGAAGCCCTATAGTTTTGGGGCATCTATACATGTGGAGGGAGAGGGGGGCAGCACTTTAATTAGTGTGGCTCTGGGAGCCTCTCTAATTAAAGCACCCACAGCATCACATGTACAGGCAGTCCTTGGACTTGCAACACAACTGAATCCTGAAAACCTCATCTTAAGTTGAAACATTGTAACTCAGAACCAATATTCCCATAAGAATCAACATTATAAATGGGGGATTGGTTCCTGAACTACTCTATTTTTACCAAAAATAACCCAGAATTTTATACTCAATCAATTATAGATGAGTAATATAGCTACATTAATGTATTTATATTGTAAATAGCAATGAGAATGATTTGGAAGGACTTCTTTGAGGTGACTTTGCTGGACTTTATGAAGGGCTCTCGGTTGGACTTTTTGAAGGCTGGAAGTCTTCTCAGGAGTCTTGGCTGCAGGTTTTTCTGGAGTCCTGTATGCTTTCTTAAAGAAAGTATTGAAGGAAGTTTGGATAGATGTTTCCAGGGAGATGGGCAATGCAGCGAACTGGTTTGCTGGCATGGCATTGGATCAAACGTTGTAAAGTTGAAACTGACATTAGAAAGTTGAAACAGGGTGTCAATTTCTAAACGTTGTAAGTGCAAAGTGTTGTAACTCGAAACGTTTTCAGTCAAGGACTGCCGGTATCTTGTGCTTCAAAATGTTAGGGGGGATGCTTGAACTAAAGCTCATTTCACAAGTCCCGCTGCCATTTTAAAGCACAGGGATGCTGAATAAAGATGATGAGGAGGCTCCTGGAGTGTGTTAATCGGCACACTCCAGCAGACTCGATTAATTGAGTCTGTTCTGATGCATGCTAATTAGTACATGTCCGGCATGTACATAGGTGCCTTTGGAGCATGGGTGGGGGAGGGGCGGGAACAGAGAGGGGACAGGGTGGAGTGGGGGGCAGGGCAGGGCTGCTCACAGCAGGATGTGCAGAGGCTGCAGGCAGCTCCTGCTGTGAGCAGCCCTTGCCCACCTCCTCCTGCCCCTCCCCCCACTTCCTGCCTCATCCCTCTGCCCTCTCCCCCTCTATCCTTTTCCTTCTGCCTTCCCCTTTAGGCTCCAAGACTGCAGGGCTTCCCACCCTTTTCTTTGCTTGCCAGGAAGTTTTTTTTTTCTCTTAGTTTTTTGCAGTGAGCCCAGCCGAATTCATGGTGTCTGCAAAAATTACTCAATCACAGATTTGGCAGGTCCATAATTATAAGCCTTCCCGGGTCAGCAGGGTCTGGATGTTTAGCAAGACTGACAACTCATGTCCATTACTTATTTTACTTAGGCAAGCCCCTGGTAGACATTAATTTAATCTTGCGATAGAATCTGAGGAATTTTATCTCGGATCCCAAAAATGATGCATCCTGCCATGCCAGAAGTTCAAGATCTAAGAGATTGGAAAGTTTGGGCTAGAGCTAACAGGACAGTGTTAAATGCGGGCAAATGCAAAGTTCTACACTTGGGGAGGAATAATAAAAAACATGGTGGATGCACTATGGAAAAGGACTTGGGAGTCTTGTCGTGCAACCTCTCAAAAGGAAAATGTGGTTTTGGAATGCATCAGTAGAAGCATTAGGTGCAAGACATGAGAGGCCTCTCTACTTGGCACTGGTTAGGCGTCCTCTGGAATCCTGTGTGCAGTTCTGGGCTCCACATTTTAAAAA